ATATCACGTGATCCCAATTGATCTCATCTCACGTAAACTACGCTACCAAAATATAATTCTCTTAGTAAATTATCTACATTAACTTCAAGTTAAATCTTAATTTGGAATTCAAGAATTATTTAAATTCATACCAATAGCTTACTCAGAAATTATGTAAAATCGTAGTGCTTTACTTAACTAGTGCATTCTCATTAGAATTGATGAATTTAATCTTTGACTTCTCTATATTTTCAAAACATATTTGCATAGCTTCAATCCTATTTACACAGTAAAATTAGTGAGCAAATGACCTACAGAGCATAAACTATTAAAAAGAATTACTTTTAATAAAGCACGAATAGATCCCATCTTGTGCTCTTATAAAATTTTTGTAATTTTTCTGCCATTTAAAAATAATTCCTTAAACTTTATTCTGAACAAAAGAGTTCTCTTTGTTTTCCTTTTCATAGAACGTAACGAAGAAGAATAAAGACATGTAATCGAGGCAGAAACAAAAATTTCTAGTTTCATTTAATCCGAACAAACCACAAATAAAAATCGATAACACTTTAGCGAAAGCTACTGAAATGTTTTATCTAGATTGCATTTAATGTTTTGGGAATTCATATTATACAATTTTCCAAAACTTTTTTTCACTATTATTAGAACCACAATTAATTGTGGCGTGTGTCATAACTGATCAATTTATGCTTCTTAATGCCGAAAATGTTAGCTATAGACGATAAATTTTTTATACTGCCAAATTCAATAATGACTGAAAGTGACTGAAAGCGAAACGTAGGCAATAACTGAATTTGTGAACAATGAAATAACACTGGGATAAAACACATTCAACTCTATTATCGAAATTAAATAGTTTTTGTGCGTAGATATATGAGAAACGGATTTCGTACGGTGCTGAAAGTTTTTCCCGGTAACGAAACCCACTAGATTTTTTTCAATTCCATGTTCGTTGAAGCACGTTTAATGAGAAACGCACGAATAATCGTTCTGAATTAGAACAAAGAACGCAAGAAGGAAGTCGGCTTAAATTTTTATACCTTGCAAATTACACTACCCGACATTGAAAAGGCAACACAAGAGGTTGCCAGAAAGTGATGAAACTCTGCAAACAGAGCAACGAACAAAAAGTGATCTTTGTTTCGAAATGATATGAATAATGCAAAGAACAGCGTCGGGTCAGTAGGATAAGTGGACAAGTGACGAAGGACACGAGCACCACCTCTCTACCATAGCGATTAATTGGTATAGCATCGCGTCCCCTTTCTTTAGAGAACCCCAAGATGGCAGGGTCAGTAGGATGTAGGACCAGCTTGAAGGGCGATACACGAAGTAACACGTCTAGGTACAGAGTCAATGAAATGACGGATGGTGTTCTGTGGAATGGTTTTCCATTCCCTGTCAACCATTTGCAACAATTACTCTTCTGAACACAGCAATGGCAGGGTCTGCAAATGGCATCCAATCGCATTCCAAATGTGTTCGATTGGCGGAAGATAAAGAGAGAACGACTGCCAAGGAAACATCTGGTACAACTTGCAGAGTACGATGGCTGGTGGGAGTAGTGTGTGGTTGGGCGTTATCTTGCTGATAAAGAGCACTGGGCACTCCCTGAAGATACGGGAGCGTCTCTGCCCGCAGCACATCATCCACGTATTGTTGGACCGTCATATCCTGAATGCGAACTCCATTGTTCACATCGCTAGAGCTCGGCATCGTTGCAGACGTCGGCGTCTATGATGTGGGGTCAATAGCAGTCTTCTTAACGGACGCCACGAGTGTAGGCCCCTAGCCATCAATCGGCGGCAAATGGCTCTGGGCGATATGGTAACATCCTGGGTGTCTTGAAGATGCTGCAGAATGGAGGAAGAAGTGGCTTGCGGATGCTTCGATCCACGCGTGTGACGTCACTCGGGCTTCACCGTCACCCTTCGAACTTGCGAGAACTTCCTTGTTCCAACCATAGTCACAACAGCCAATGCACTGTGGACGCATCCAGGTGTGTGTCAGCGGAGATTAGCCGTATGGACCAGCATGCCCTTCATAAAATCGTTTACCATAGCGACACTCTGAATTATAAAATTTATATTATCTTAAAAATTATCTAATCGTTGCCACATGTTCCATTCAAATATTATAATAAATCCAAAACGATATATAAAAGAAATTAAACAAAAAATAAAAAAAAAGTTTTTTGCAGACAATTCATTATTTCTCATTCAATTAATTCAGATCTCACTTCTCGACAAGGCAAAAATACATAAAATCTCAATATCTATATTAAAAATTACGAAGTAAATTTTAAACACTTATTTCGTCGAAAAATTTCCAGAATAGATTAAGCATGATTTTAATCGCAATAATAAAAGAAAACATTACTTTGTTGTTGCAAAACTTAGTTTCGCTAGACTGGCAACAAATCTACTATTCTGCTGTTTCAAATGTAAACAAATATGTCAGCCATGTTATTTAGAAATTAGGCTTAACTGTACTTAAACAGCTTTTAAATTGTTGATAATTGTACAAATTTTGCTTGGAGAGTTACTAAAGGCATTAAAAACCTTAACCGAAAGATAAGAACAACATAATTCGATCCTTTTTAAAGCAATAAATGCACTATTTACAAACATATAAGAATAAAGAAACTGAGGTCACTGAGCCCAGTAACAGAGTGGATATATATACATATACTTATATACTTTTGGTGAGGCCGATTGCAATCAAAGTACGAGGTGCACATCTACATGTTATAGCAGTTCTACATACAAAAAATTTCAACGTTCTGAGGCTACTCATTTCTGAGTTATGCGAGATACGTACAGGCGCCACGAAAAATAATCTTCAGAATTCATTTTAAATCCGTTATAACTTTTTTTGGGGGAGGAGTGTCCTTTATTCTGCTCTTACGTGCAGATGTCGTACATAAACATCGTTAAATTGCATTCGATAGCGGTCAAAATGGATATTTTCGTTGAAATATGAGGCCTGAAAAATTTCGCGATTACTATCGTTTCAATTCAGTAAAAAACAGATCATTCAAAATTCTAGATAAGCAAATGAAGAAAGGTTGCTTACCTTTATGATCCGCGTTCTTCGATTCTGGTCCGCCGCTTTTGTAGACTCCGATTTGGTTTCATACTCATCTAAAATTGGCACTATTTTGTATGAATCACTTTATTTGACATTTGACACAAAAGAGGAAAAAATATCTAAATCATTACACTATCAAAAAACACTTCTAACTACTTAGCATCATTGTTCTACATATCTAACAGCGTCATTAGTTCTACTGCGTCACTGTTCTAAAAGCATACACTCATCGTTGCCAGTTCTCAAAAAGAAACTTTCTTTTTCGATTCTCGTCGGTCTGGAGGCTCAATCCGTTCCCCAAGAGCGGAGCGTGCGTCGTTCGCGACACACTCCCCCCGATGAGTTTCACCAAGTTGAAACTCAGCCACAGTCTGGTTGAAAGTTCATGAGGTTTAATCGTTCAGGGGTTCGAATCACTCGTCCACATCTAGTTGTTTTGAGGGGATTCTGATTGAGTTCATCTGACTGATCTTTGTCAGTGGCACGAAAATCTGTAGATCCAATAGAAGTTGTAGGCTTATCACACATTTTTTGATCAGAATGCTTCTTTCTCAAACAGTCTCCTATATTATCCGTTTGTAAATGGACTTCCAACGGATAAATTCGTTGTATGGGTCGAAGGATTTCGCCACTTTTGGTGCGTAATTTTACTAAACGAACTACACCATCATTTCCTGGGATGAGTGTTATAATTTTTCCTAGAGGCCACTTAATTCTTTTCTCAGGTGTTTCTATTAACACAATGTCTCCAACCGATAGTTTAACATATTTCTCTGTTTTTTAAAATATGGTTTTTCAGTTGTCCTAAGTATTCAGTTCTGAACCGTTTTCTTAGATCTTCTCTAACCTTCATCTGATATGCATACCTTTTTTGTAAGTATTTGGCATCAATAATATCTAGATCTGGAACGCCACTTTCTTTTAGATCACGAAAAAACATTGCAGGTGTCAAGGGTTCCAGTTCCAAGTCCTCGGAAATATAAGTTAATGGTCTGCAATTTAAGATATTTTCGCAATCACAGAGGATCGTATAGAGTTCTTCATATTTCAGTGAGGCATTACCTAAAACTTTTCTGAGAATGTTTTTCATCAGGCCAATCATTCTTTCCCAAAATCCACCCCACCAGGGAGAAGCTGGTGGGATAAATTTCCACTTAATGCGGTTGACAACATGATTTTTAATAAGTTTATCCCAGTCAATCATTTTTAAGAGCGAATTTGTACCAATAAAATTACTACCGTTATCAGTGTAGACAATTTCAGGTCTTCCTCTGCGTGCTATAAAACGTCGGAAAGGAAAGCCAATAAAAAGTTATCTGTTGACAAAGACGTTAAAAGTTCAAGATGAATTGCCCTGTATACAGCACATGTAAATAAAACGATCCACGTTTTCGATCCATTTTTTAAAAACAAAGGGCCAGCTAAGTCGATACCTGTCACTTCAAAAATAGAAGAATCTTTAACACGGTCCTTTGGCAAAGGTGCGGATTGTACCGTGGAGGGCCTCGAATCAAATCTTCTACATTTAGTGCAGTTTTTCAACACTTTACGAATAGTTTTACGACTTTTCAAAATCCAGAAATTTTTCTCGTAGCATTGCCATTAAAGTCTGAGTTCCGCAATGCATTTGTTGTTCATGTTTTTCCATAATCAGTTTAGAGACAACTGGATGTTCAGGAGGTAGGATTACAGGTGTTCTAAAATTTTCGAAGTCTTGTCTCATTAATATTCTTGACTTTACTCTTAAAAGACCAGATGAATCAACAAATGGTTTTAAATTTCGTAAGCGTTTATCCTTTTCTGTTTTAAAGGAGACCCTTTGCACAATTTTCCAAACAAGAACTTCAGCTGCATTCAATTCTTCGATTTCTAAGTTCTTTGACGTTGTTCTGTTTTTATCTCTGCAGTTATCAATATACCTTTTTATCCAAGGCTGTAACTCTAATTATTTTCTCAAAAGAAGAAATTCGTGAGAAATGCGAAAATTCTTCATCTACATTTGTTAACGAGGATACAACTGTTTTTCTTCTTTCTCGATCAATCATATCTTTGTCAGGAGAAATATCACAAGTAGGCCAACAGTCTGGATTCAACTTCAACCATGCTGGACCTTCATGCCATCTTTTGGCTTTAATAGTTTCAACAGAACATCCTCTTGACGGAATATCCGCAGGATTCAAGTTGCCAGGAACATAATTCCATGCATCAGGATTAGTAAGAGCTCGTATTTCTTTCACTCTATTCATAACAAATACACCCCAATTTTCTTCATTCTTAATCCAGTACAATGTGTTCCTTGAATCTGTCCAATAAAACGTAGGTATATTTTCTTCCTTCAAATCTTGTTTTATAGATTTCATTAATCTTGCACCAACAACACAAGCTAATAATTCTAGTCTACAAATTGATGTGGGTTTTAGAGGAGCAACTCTAGATCGTGCTTGAACTAAATGACACGAAACTTTATTTTCATTTTCATTTCTTAAATAAACGCAGGTTGCATATGCCATTCGGGATGCATCACAAAATATATGAAAGGATAATTTCAATTCAGAATCAATATTAAGCATCATCTGTCGAGGAATTTTTATTTCTGTTAAACGATTTGCATCATTTTTCCATTTCATGTATTTCCTTTGAATTTCTTCAGGAAGAGCTTCATCCCAAGTTACTTTTAATTCCCAGCAGTTTTGTAACAGAATTTTAGGAATTAAAATTATAGGGCAGGTGAATCCAATAGGGTCATAAATTTTATGAATTTCAGACAAAATTGTTCTTTTAGTAACAGGTTTGTTTTTTGATTCATTTAATCCCTTAATATCACAACTTAATGTGTCATCATGCAAATTCCAAAGAAGTCCCAAAATGTTGACCGTTTTAGCTTCACAAGGATCATCGAAAAACTCATTCTCATTTAATTTATCAAGCTTCGACTGTTCTAAAATGGGTTCAACAACAAATGCATCCCTTTTATTTCGAGGATAGTTATATGCCCACTCTTGTAATTCAAATTTAGCACTTGCCAAAATTTCAGTGGCATCATTTTTTAACTTCTTTAACTTCTGATTCATCATTCACACTTGTAACTAAATTATCAACGTACCAGGATTCTACTAATTTATTAGCACTCGCACGATAATTTTCTGGTACTTCATTCATTAATTTCGTTAGTGTTGCATTTAAGAGAAATGGACTGCTGGTTATTCCAAAGACCACTCTTCTATGCCTGTATATTTTCAAACGCTCAGAATTTCCCTGTTCCCACCATAAAAATCTTAAATAATCTCTGTCTTTAGGATTAAGTGCTATCTGCAGAAAAGCCTTCTTAATATCAGCGCTCAACGCCAATTTTTCCCAGTCGAAATCTATTTATTATAGCTGGAACAGTATCAATCAAATTTGGACCCTTTTCCAAACAGTCATTTACGGAGGGTGATCCTTTAGTTCTTACGGATCCATCGAAAACCGGTCTTATTTTTGTCGTGGTGGAATTCATTCGAATAACAGCACGATGGGGTAAATAATGAGAGGGGTTATTAACTTCTTCCTCAGGAACAATCTCTATTATTTTATCATCTTCCCAAGATTTAAAAATTGCGTTATAATCTTCTAAAAATCCCCCATCCCTTAAATTCTTCACTGTGCTCTTTAATCTCTTTTCTGCTATTTCTCGATAGTTTGGAAGTAGGGAACGATTTTCAATCCAAGGTAAACAAACTTGAAACCTTCCTTCTTCATCTCTTTTCACATTGGAAAGAAAATGTGTCATTGTTTGTTTTTCTAATTCCCTTTTAGTTTGACTTTCTGAAGGGTCTAATATCCCAAGAGTATCAAGTTTCCATAAATCAGAAATTTTACTATCTGATACTAACATAGAAAATGCATAAGAACAATCATATTTATTTTCCATTTCTACGGGAATTTTCCCCATGATACTCCAGCCTAAATAAGTTTCAATGCAAACTAATCCACATTCTAACTTCTTTATTTTCCCTGTAAGCAATTTTCCCGCTATGTCTGCGCCTATGAGGATATGAATTTCAGAAGGAGAATGCTCGAACAACAATTTTTTATGCCTACCTTCAACATCATTCAAAAATATGTTATGGGTTTTTAACTCATTTAAATAAGGCTTGATGTTCAATTGTGGAATATCAGAACAAATATTCGCTTGATCAAAAGCTTTGAAGTTACACTGATAATCGTTTTTGATACTACTTAAACGTACAACGAACTGTTTATGAGTTTCAACCACTTCAGTTCCTCCGAACAGACTATGAATCACACTGCTTTCGTTAATACATTCGTACTGCATAGCATTAGCTAAGAATTTAGATACATAGCTTCGTTGACTCCCAGAATCAATTAAACAGCGGCAGTATTTTTTCTGGACCATTGCCACGCACTCTTACAACTAAAGTTTGTAATAAAACTTTCTCTAAACATGATTTGTTCGTCAAATTGAGATCCTTCTTATTTGATTTTTTCTCATCTAAACTATTTCTGTCACAGATTAAACTGTTGTGTTTCCACCCACATGAATCACACTTTATCTTCGAAAAGCAATTTTTTGCCAAATGGTTACCCCTTTTAAGGCATAAATAACACATTCCGAGTTTCCGAAGTGACGCCTTTCTGTCTGTTACAGACTTCGGGCAAGCTTCGGAAGTATGTTTTTCTTTTTCTGAATCCTCGCAAAATATGCAGCTGTTAATTGAAACCTTTAACACACAGCAGCCGTTGGAATAGAAATTTTATTTATTCTTTTTTCTTTAGGAAAGTGGCTCGAATTATGGTTGTTTATTTTATCTTGAATTTGTAGCATGGATTCGCGGCACTCAATTTCCGTTTTCAAGAACTCTAATAATTCGTTTACATCGAAATTATCTTTCGATTTCCTTTTTCTTTGGAAATCAAGATTCAGTTCATTCGGAATTAATTTTAATAAAACTGGTGTCAATAACGTGCCATATGTGCCAGAAGTTACATTAAGTGATTTTAAACTTCTTATCTGTATTTCGATATCATCATACAACTTACGTAATGCAAATATGTTGTTAGCATTCCTAACAGGTTCTAAATTTAACAGTTTTCCCATATGTGCATTTATAATTAAATCTGTTCGACCAAAGCGTGTTTTAAGTAACTCGATTGCGGCAAAATAATTTTCACTTGATAATGCAAAACCACTAACAGCATTACAAGCAGCACCTGATAAAAATGATATCAAATAATTAAATTTGTCTGTATCTGTTAAATCACTATTCTGATGTATCGCATTGTCAAACTGGTTCCAAAATGATAACCAATTAACAGGATCGCCATTAAATTTATTGATCGATAATTTAGGCAATTTAATTTTTGAATGAGATACAGAAATATTTGAAATATCATTATTCACAATATTACCAATTGTATTCGAAACAGGAATTTCAGGTTTCCTATTCTCTTTTAACATAAATGTTAGTTTTGATTTCATGGAAATTATTTTCTCGGAATAAACTTCACAAGTTTCAAATTCCGATTCATATTCAGTAGCCTCAATTAATTCTTGTATTTGTTTATCTAATTCTTTTAGGCTGTTATATTTTGAATCTAATAAATCAATATTTTCATTAAGAATACACAAATCGTGTTCTGTTTCTTGGAGGTATTCTTTACAATTATTTATCAACTTTGTTGTCATACTCCTAACTACAGTTCGTCTTTTCTTTAATTCTTCTATTTTAGTAGACATGTTTAAATATTTCAGATAGAAAATATTTCAAATTAAAAATCAGTACTCTCAAATCATAAATAAACTTCTCAAATCAAAAGGAGATATTTTTAAACATTCCTAAATCTTTCACTTCAATATAGTCTACATCGGCGGTCCCTGTTCGGGCGCCAAAAAAATTTATATCGTTTCAATTCAGTAAAAAACAGATCATTCAAAATTCTAGATAAGCAAATGAAGAAAGGTTGCTTACCTTTATGATCCGCGTTTCTTCGATTCTGGTCCGCCGCTTTTGTAGACTCCGATTTGGTTTCCAAACTCATCTAAAATTGGCACTATTTTGTATGAATCACTTTATTTGACATTTCACACAAAAGAGGAACAATATCTAAATCATTACACTATCAAAAAACACTTCTAACTACTTAGCATCATTGTTCTACATATCTAACAGCGTCATTAGTCTACTGCGTCACTGTTCTAAAAGCATACACTTATCGTTGCCAGTTCTCAAAAAACAAACTTTCTTTTTCAATTCTCGTCGGTCTGGAGGCTCAACCCGTTCCCCAAAAGCGGAGCGTGCGTCGTTCGCGACAATTACAATACTTCCTTTTTACTTCGTACAAGGAAGTAAAATCATTTCACAAAAGTCTGTTTGCCTTAGAAGAGATATCTTCGTTAGAGATTATTTAATATTAGCAACTGGTTTTTATTTATGTTACCCCAGGTGAAAGTGAATACTGGAATATCTTTGAAAGTAAAGCTTCAATAGCAGGCATCAAAACAGAGATAAATTATCAGTACTTTTTCTGAATTTTTATTTGAATGTTTTATGCATGTGTATAGATTCGAACACTATTTAACTGAACTCGCTTAATCGAGATTTTGTTTGGCAGAATTATGATGAATAGATTATAATGACTGAATCAGTAAACCTAAAATTAATGGGACAACTATGAGATAATAGCAGCTGGCTTAGAGTTGAAAATAAAATCTTAAAGTAAGTGCAATACTAAGAATATGGTTTTATTACATAAATATAAGATAAAATTGAGCTGTTTTCATGAAATATTTATCAAACCTGGCAGAAGCAATTACGTTAACTGTATACAAAGTTGAACTACTGAACAAATAATACAAAGTTGAACTACTGAACAAATAATACAAAGTTGAACTACTGAACAAATAATACAAAGTTGAACTACTGAACAAATAATACAAAGTTGAACTACTGAACAAATAATACAAAGTTGAACTACTGAACAAATAATACAAAGTTGAACTTGAACAAATAATACAAAGTGAACTACTGAACAAATAATACAAAGTTGAACTACTGACAATAATACAAAGTTGAACTAACTGAACAAATAATACAAGTGAACTCTGACTGACTGAACTACTGAACTACTGAAAATAATACAAAGTTGAACTACTGAACAAATAATACAAAGTTGAACTACTGAACAATAATACAAAGTAACAAAGTTGAACTACTGAACAAATAATACAAAGTTGAACTACTGAACAAATATGTTGCTTTTCTAAAATTAAAGGTTTTACCTTAATTTATTCTGATCTATATCGTTGAGTGTATAAATCAGCTTCCAAATCCAGTATCTTTTAATTATTTCCATATCAAAATTACATTAAAATATAGACCTCTAAGATCCTTGTACTAAATATCTTTTCGATCCTAAAATTCCATTCACTGTTCAGATTACATATACAATAGCAGTACCGTATTCATGAGCAAAAGCATAATAAAAACAATATATTCCTATTAAATGTTTGTCATGAATGAGACATTTTTAATGATTGAAGGGGTGGGAAAAAAATCATCGAATGCTTTTTATTTAGGAGTCCACATTATCCGTACGGATGAGCACTGACATTACTAGCTCAGCTTGGACTCAATCGAGGTGTCTCCAACGTGACTTAGGATATATATTAGATTTTATGTAGCGCGTTCTAACAAAGGTATTTGACACAAAATAAATTTTCTGACATAACATACATTTTTTTCTCCATTTCGATTCTATGACTCAAATGCCTAGATATTAAATTTTGTAAAATTTAAAATTTGCGGAAATTCAAAATTTTATTTGGAACTATTTTCCAGTTGCACCAAGAACTTGGCGATCTTCTTAATATATCTTATATCTTATATATCTTAATTATATATCTTATATAACTTCTTAAATCTTAATTTTACCATTTCTCTTATCTTCTATTATGCCGGAACGGAAAAAAAGTTAACTCGTTCCTACCTTTTTACATTGTGTAATGGGGGGGGGGGGGGCACATCGTTCCTACTTTCAAATAATTTTAGCAAAGTGTCTAAACCCCATTTGATGTTTTATCGCTTTCAACAACAAATTTCAAAACCCTCAAAAATATAAATTCAGTATATCTTCGGAAATTTTGAAACAAAAATTGCAATTTTTTGCAGGTATGCTTAAAAGTTACTTTAGGATGATGGTAAAAAATTTTATAACTTATTAAAATTTCTTTGAAAATTTACGAAAATTATTTTTAAAAAATTGTAAAAAAATGGGTGAAATCTTTAGAGTGAATCTGAATTTCGAATGGGAAAGGAAGAATCAAATAAGTTTATAAAAAAAGAGAGATTAATAATAATACCAAACTCATTAACATGGAGGAGCTAAAATTTTGAGCTAATTTTTTAAAAACTACTCGTGGATTTTACAACGTGGTAGTTTGGCGTATTTGAGTCGTAGGATGAAAATGGGAAAACAAATTGGCATGTTATTTCAGACAAAGTCCGATTTTGTGCCAGAATGCCTATATTAGAACAATGGTATATATAAATCTAATACATATCCTAAGTCACGCTTTCGAGACATGAAAAGCGCAAGCTGAATTTCATCAATCGGCCCAGTAGAACGGGAGATATAGAACTGTCCCCCCCAGACACTTTTTTTTTTCGCAGTGTACCATCACGAATATGACATAGTTCCTTTTAAAAAGACCTGCACTAGGGCGCCCCCTTCCGTTACGCAAAGGGGTCATGGTGGTTTTCCAATAATCAAAAATGAAGCTACTTTTTGACTACCTGATCCTGTTATCAAAATTTAATGCTTTTCCATTTAATGCTTTCTTTGTACGAAGTGAAAGAAGTACTGTACTTGCGAAAGCGTTCTTGTATAATATTTCTGCGAAAATACCCATTCTCACCGCTCTCGTAGCTATTTAAACGATATTTCTGCATTACATCTGAATGTGCGGACAGAATAAGGACTCTTTTATTTCTAAAACACATTGTAAAATTAATTTAAAATGGATTCAGAATGGATTTTTTAGTGACGTCTGTACGTACGTATGCATGCATATATCGCACATAACTCTAGAACGAGTAGCCTCAGAACATTCTAATTTTGTGCATGGGACTGCTATAAAATCTAGTTGTGCACCTCCCTTTTTGTCTCCAATACGCCGCATCAAACTTGTATATATATATATATGTGTATATCCACTTTGTTACCTAACTGGGTGAGCTCAATTTTTTATTCTTAGATGTTCGTAAATTGCACATTTTTTGCTTTAAAAGCGACTGAATTTTTTTATTCTCATATTCCGGTTAAGGTTTTATGCCTTTAGTTAACACTTTCCGGCGCAGTGTGTTCGGTGTGAACACACCAAAAATATCCCTCTTTAGA